AGGCTAGACCGTCCAAATCCACAGCCTCTTTTTTTCCGGTCTTCCCGGTCTACCAAGGACCCGGCCCGCCGAGACCGGGGAGTCTGGGTCCTCCGGAGGACCCGGCCTGTCGTTTTGGACACAGCCGTAGTGACAGATTTTCTGACCGGGCAGCTCTTTAGCTGAAACTGAGTGCCTGTAGTCGGTGTCCTGGCAGGAGATATCAGCACCGATGAGGGTCACCAACTCATTAAAATGAACTTGGGACAAAAACAGTTCTGAAAGCGAGCATCGTCAGCTAGCTGGGGCGGCTGTGGTATAGTGGTTAGGGGAATTGTCCTGAAACCGGAAGGTCGCCGGTTCGATCCCCGTCCAGTCGACTCAGTCGTTGTGTCCTTGGGCAAGACACCGTACCCGTCTTGCCTACTGATGGTGGCGCCTGTATATGGCAGCCTCGCTTCTGTCAGTGCGCCTCAGGGCAGCTGTAGCTACAATGTAGTTTGCCATCATCAGTGTGTGAATGTGTGTGTGCGTGGGTGAATGTTTGTAGTGTGAAGCGCTTTGAGTGTCCTGGATGGATAGAAAGGCGCTATATAAGTACAGTCCATTTACCATTTGTAAATACTTTCTACAGCCCTGCTCCTAGAGATGAGATATTTATGACATGAAAGCTCACACATTTTAACATTTTTTATACTTGAAGTCAAAAACAAAAATGTCCTAACGGCCTGTGTTCTCCACAGCTTATTTCCAGGAAGGGTCTGAGTCGGTCTCTGTTCACAGCTACCAAGAAGTGGTTTGGCGGAGGTAAAGGCCCAGAGAAGAGCGTCAGTGAACCAAAGAGTACATATGGCCTTCTGTAAGCTCATCTACACTGTTCTTAGACTGCATGTGAGGCTTCAGCTGTATTTAAAGCACTGGTGTTAACTTTCCCTGAAGATACCCTCCTGAAGCCCCGGAGCTGCAGATCAGGAAGATGGCAGACCTGTGTTTCCTGGTTCAGCACTACGAGCTGGCCTACAGCTGCTACCACACCGCCAAGAAGGACTTCCTTTCAGATCAGGCCATGCTGTATGCAGCGGGGGCGCTGGTAAGATCAGCTTTCTATCTGACCTGTCAGGAATGGGTTGTTACTGCACAATGAAACCCATTGTTACAGGTTTCATTCCAGCTGATGACAAATTTTGACGGAATCTACCAGAGTCTGAAAACAGCAACAAGTTTTTATCCTTCACAGTTCAAAACAAAAGTGTTGTGTATTATTTCAGATGTTTCTGAAAAAGTGCCAAAGAACTTTAAAATTGTCTGAGCTTGAAAAAAACATTTTGTTGTATAAACTGTAGAGGTGTAAAAAGAACCAAAGAACCTGTAGCTCATTCTGGTCACAATAATAATAA